GAGGAGGAGGAGGAGGAGAAAGAGGAGGAGGAGGAGGAGGAGAAAGAGGAGGAGGAAAGGGAGGAGGAGGATTGAGATGATGATGGGTATGATTATAGTGATGACGACAACTGTAATGGTCATATGGAGAAAGGAGAAGAGGATGATGATGAGAAGTACAAAGGGAGAGAAGTGGAATGATAAGCAAGTTGTATTGTTTTACCACCAATTCATAACCATGTTTTAAAAAAAAATCTTGTTCACTTTCCCAGGCATCACCGAGGACGATATCTTCGTCAGGCTCACAAACGTTGACGCACAAAGTTCACTACAACCTGAGTAAGTGAAAATTGTTAACACGGCCTCAATGTGTTGAACCAACTTTCTTTCAATTAGTAACTTTAAATGCTCAAAATATGACGACATTTTCTCTGCCAGAATTGGTTTCCTTATTAAACGTAGCAGAGGCCAAAAGCCCCCTCAGTCGTAACATCTTGTAGTTGGCTTAAGAAATATTCTCCTCTGCAGATACATTGGATCTTCAGACATTGTCGGACGAACTATTTGTAATAATGAGTATTTTATTAAAGAAACAAGCATACCTATGTTTATGAATCCCCCACACCGAACAGTTGGGCAGGGGAAACACAGTTGGACCACAATATCTACGTACTCATTCCCCTCTGTTGTTTCTGTCTGTCTGTCCATCTTTCTTTTCTTTTCAACAGTTCAAATTAACTGTCATCATACCGATGCGCTTTTTTTTTTCAAATGGAGCTCAATTTCTGTAGATGTTCGGCACTTTGGCAGAATCTGTTTCTTGTGAGGCTTTTTCATGGTGCTGTCATCCTCTTTAGTAAGAGTGGAAATGCTAGCGTCTATGGTGTGTTGGTTAAACTCTTTGTCATTGCATGCAGAATATTACGTGAGTTCATCAATTAATGACTAGAGAGAAGTCATTAATTTTATAGAAGGCCCCCGTCTGTGAGGTGACATGTTGTATCTCACTCAGCCTCGTTGGGTCATGACACACAGAAGAAACCTGCCTATGGTATCCTTTGTGTCAATAGGGGCATAAAATTGATTACAATCAATTGATATGTTATCCGTCGATCTTTACAGGAGAAATGTCACAATCCAATCGCCAAAATCTATGTAAACTACAACTCAGAAACATTAACTTCTCTTTTGCTGTTGGTATCATGCAGGACTACAGAGCGGGTGGCCCTGGTTCGAATCTCCAAGGGAGCATTCTGAACTTTGGTTGTTTTGTGGAGTTTTAAGGCTCTCCATCGATTTGGCTAATTAGTCCTATTGGATATGGTCGGTGAATTCGAAGGTCCCATCTCTAAAGTGACCGTACCGTTTTGAAAGCGACGTTAAACGTCTACACAATTTCACTTCTTTTTTCTTTTTCTTCTGCAGCGGCTCCCCTGTAAGTGTCGTCCAGTATACAGTGTCCATCGCCAGGGCAGATTCCTCTCTGACCATTGCTGAGCCCCCGTCGTTGACCACCCTTGAGCGAATTCTGAACGCCAGCGGTGTGGTGGAGGCCCCTCCGTGCAACTGTGACGTCAGAAAGAAGATCTACCTCACCACGGAAGGCTTTCTCAACGTTACCAACTCCAGCCAGATCGAGGCTGTCCAGACGGCCATCGCTAAGAGCTGGAAGGAGTCCAATCCAGGTGACGTCATGTTTTTCGTGTAGCTGCTTTCAGCTACTCAGAGTTTTTTTTTTTATTGTTTTTTTAAAAACGCGGGCAGTATTGCATACAGACTTATCTCAAAGGTCGCCAAAAATTACTTACGTCTGAATGCAATACATACTTACAGTTTATACTTGCTTTTAATGCTTGCTCGTAATATGTACCCTTCCATTTTCTTTGGAAAAAAGAAAAGAAAGCAATTGTTTTGTTTATTCAGCCCGTGCCTCGCACATTGAAATTCAGAAAAATGAAATTCCTGCTCAGTTATGTTCTTAGGAATAATCAAAGCTACCTGTATTTAAATTTGAAGGTATGAAAAGTGTGATTTCTTCTAAAAGTGAGGAAAATGTCGGTGCCACCAAAATTGTAATATATTATGAACGTGAGGACTATAAGTATGTATTTCTCATGCATTCCCTACCCTTGAACAGTGGACAAAAGCTGGCATGAAACTACTCCCTTCTCGGGCACTCCGTGGGTGTTCCGGACCTGCTCACTAACCCCCTTCTCCTTCGCTCTCTCATTACCTTTACCTTAATTATTTCTTTTGCAAATGAAATGTAACCATTGTAACCGTTATCGT